CAGCAAGGGCGTGGGAGGGTTGCGAGCATCATCGGTCGTCGGCGCTCGTGAATGAAGAGCGCCCGCTGCACTTCCTGCACATGTGTGGATCCTTCCGCGTTTTGGGTGTGGAAGCGCTCGTTCCGAGCGTTTTTCTTCCGCGAGATCACGTGGCTGTGCTTGTCTGGCCTATTACCAAGCCAGCAAGGACGTGGGAGGGTTGCGAGCATCATTGGTCATCGGCGCTCGTGATTGAAGAGCGCCCGTTGCACTTGCAGCACATGTGCGGATCCTTCCGCGTTTTGGATGTGGAAGCGCTCGTTCCGAGCGTTTTTCTTCCGCCATGTCATGTGGCTTCTCTTGTCTGGGCCTAGTGCCAGCAAGGGCGTGGGAGGGTTGCGAGCATCATCGGCCATCGGCGCTCGCGAATGAAGAGCGCCCGCTGCACTTCCTGCACATGTGCGGATCCTTCCGCATTTTGGGGAGGGAAGCGCTCGTTATGAGCGTTTTTCTTCCGCCGGATCACGTGGTTGAGCTTGTCTGGTCCTATTACCAAGCCAGCAAGGGCGTGGGAGGGTTGCGAGCATCATCGGTCATCGGCGCTCGCGAATGAAGAGCGTCCGCTGCACTTTCAGCACATGTGCGGATCCTTCCACATTTTGGGGGTGGAAGCGCTCGTTCCGAGCGCTTTTCTTCCGCCAGGTCACGTGGTTGCGCTTGCCTGGGCCTATTACCAAGCCAGCAAGGGCGTAGGAGAGTTGCAAGCATCATCGGTCATCGGCGCTCGCAAATGAAGAGCGCTCGCTGCACTTCCTGCACATGTGCGGATCCTTCCGCGTTAAGGGGGTGGAAGCGCTCGTTCCGAGCGTTTTTCTTCCGCCATCTCACGTGGTTGCGCTTGTATGGGCCTATTACCAAGCCAGCAAGGGCGTGGGAGGGTTGCGAGCATCATCGGCCATCGGCGCTCGCGAATGAAGAGCGCCTGCTGCACTTCCTGCACATGTGCGGATCCTTCCGTATTGTATTTTGGGGGTGGAAGTGCTTGTTCCGAGCGTTTTTCTTACGCGGGGTCATGTGGCTGCGCTTGTCGGGGCCTATTACCAAGCCAGCAAGGGTGTGGGAGGGTTGCGAGCATCATCGGTCATCGGCGCTCGCGAATGAAGAGCTCCCGCTGCACTTCCTGCACATGTGCGGATCCTTCCGCGTTTTGGGTGTGGAAGTGCTCGTTCCGAGAGTTTTTCTTCTGCCATGTCACGTGGCTGCGCTTGTCTAGGCCTATTACCAAGCCAGCAAGGGCGTTGGAGGGTTGCGAGTATCATCGGTCATCAGCGCTCGCGAATGAAGAGCGTCAGCTGCACTTCCTGCACATGTGCGGATCCTTCCGCGTTTTAGGTGTGGAAACGTTCGTTCTGAGCGTTTTTATTCTGTCCTGTCACGTGACTGCGCTTGTCTGGGCCTATTACCAAGCCAGCAAGGGCGTGGGAGTGTTGCGAGCATCATTGGCCATCGGCGTTTGCGAATGAAGAGCGCCCGCTGCACTTCTTGCACATGCGCGGATCCTTCCGTGTTTTGGGGTTGGAAGCGCTCGTTCCGAGCGTTTTTCTTCCACCAGGTCACGTGGCTGGACTTGTCTGGTCCTATTACCAAGCCAGCAGGGGCGTGGGAGGGTTGCGAGCATCACCAGTCAGCGGCGCTCGCGAATGAAGAGCGCCCGCGGCACATCCTGCACATGTGCGGATCCTTCCGTGTTTTGGGGGTGGAAGCGCTCGTTCCGAGCGTTTATCTTCCTCCAGGTCACGTGGCTGTACAAGTCTGGGCCTATTTCCAAGCGAGTAAGGGCGTGGGAGGGTTTCAAGCATCATCGGTCATCGGCGCTCGCGAATGAAGAGCGCTCACTGCACTTCTTGCACATGTGCGGATCCTAATGTTTTGGGGCTGGAAGCGTCTTCCGCTGGGTCACTTGGCTGCGCTTGTCTAGTCCTATTACCAAGCCAGCAAGGGCGTGGGAGGGTTGCGAGCATCATTGGTCATCCGCGCTCGCGAATGAAAAGCGCCCGCTGCATTTCCTGCACATGTGCAGATCCGTCCGAGTTTTCGGGGTGGAAGCGCTCGTTCCGAGCGTTTTTCTTCGGCCGGTTCACGTGGCTGCGCTTTTCTGGGCCTATTACCAAGCCAGCAAGAGCGTGGGAGGGTTGCGAGCATCATCGGTCATCGGCGCTCGCAAATGAAGAGCGCCCGCTGCACTTCTTGCACATGCGCGGATCCTTCCACGTTTTGGGGGTGGAAGCGCTCGTTCTGGGCGTTTTTCTTCCGCCAAGTCACATGGCTGCACTTGTCTGGGCCTATTACCAAGCCAGCAAGGGCGTGGAAGGGTTGCGAGCATCATCGGTCATCGGCGCTCGCGAATGAAGAGCGTCCGCTGCACTTCCTGCACATGTGCGGATCCTTCCACGTTTTGGGGGTGGAAGCGCTCGTTCCGAGCGTTTTTCTTCCACCAGGTCACGTGGCTGCGCTTGTCTGGGCCTATTACCAAGCCAGGAAGGGCGTGGGAGGGTTGAGAGCATCATCGGTCATCGCCGCTCGCAGATGAAGAGCGCTCGCTGCACTTCCTGCACATGTGCGGATCCTTCCGCGTTTTGGTGGTGGAAGCGCTCGTTCTAAGCGTTTTTCTTCCGCCGCGTCACGTGGCTGCGCTTGCTTAGGCGTATTACCAAGCCAGCAAGGGCGTGGGAGGGTTGCGAGCATCATTGGTCACCAGCGCTCGTGAATGAAGAGCGTCCGCTGCATTTCTAGCACATGTGCGGATCCTTTCGAGTTTTGGGGGTGGGAGCGCTCGTTCCGAGCGTTTTTCTTTCGCCGGTTCACGTGGTTGCGCTTCTCTGGGCCTATTACCAAGTCAGCAAGGGCGTGGAAGGGTTGGGAGCATCATCGGTCATCGGCGCTCGCGAATGAAGAGCGCCCGCTGCACTTCCTACACATGTGCGGATCTTTCCGAGTTTTGGGGTTGGGAGCGCTCGTTTCGAGTGTTTTTCTTCCGCCGGGTCACGTGGTTGCGCTTGTCTGGGCCTATTACCAAGCCAGGAAGGGCGTGGGAGGGTTGCGAGTATCATCGGCCATCGGCGCTCGCGAATGAAGAGCGCACGTTGCGCTTCCTGCACATGTGCGGATCCTTCCGCATTTTGGGGGTGGAAGTGCTCGTTCCGAGCGTTTTTCTTCCGTCGGGTCACGTGGCTGCGCATGTCTGGGCCTATTACCAAGAAAACAATGGCGTGGGAGGGTTGCGAGCATCATCGGTCATCGGCGCTCGCGAATGAAGAGCGCTCGCTAAACTTCCTGCACATGTGCGGATCTTTCCGCATTTTGGGGGTGGAAGTGCTCGTTCCGAGAGTTTTTCTTCCGCGGGGTCACGTGGTTGTGGTTGTCTAGGCCTATTACCAAGCCAGCAAGGGCGTGGGAGGGTTGCGAGCATCATCGGTCATCGGCGCTTGCGAATGAAGAGCGCTCGCTGCACTTCCTGCACATGTGCGGATCCTTCCGCGTTTTGGGTGTGGAAGCGCTCGTTCCGAGCGTTTTTCTTCCGCGGGGTCACATGGCTGCGCTTGTCTGGGCCTATTACCAAGCCAGCAAGGTCGTGGGAGGGCTGCGAGCATCATCGGCCATCAGCGCTTGCGAATGAAGAGCGCCCGCTGCACTTCCTCCACATGTGCGGATCCTTCCGCATTTTGGGGGTAGAAGTGCTCGTTCCGAGCAATTTACGTCCGCGGGGTCACGTGGGTGTGCTTGTCTAGGCCTATTACCAAGCCAGCAAGGGCGTGGGAGGTTTGCGAGCATCATCGGTCATCGGCGCTCGTCAATGAAGAGCGCCCGCTACACTTCCTACACATGCGCGGATCCTTCTGCGTTTTGGGGGTGGAAGCGCTCGTTCCGAGCGTTGTTCTTCCGCCGGGTCACGTGGCTGCGCTTGTCTGGGCCTATTAGCAAGCCAGCAAGGGCGTGGGAGGGTTGCGAGCATCATCGGTCATCGGCGCCCGCGAATGAAGAGCGCCCGCTGCGCTTCGTGCACATGTGCGGATCCTTCCGCATTTTGGGGATGGAAGCGCTCGTTTTGAGCGTTTTTCTTCCGCCGGGTCACGTGGCTGCGCTTGTCTGGTCCTATTACCAAGCCAGCAAGGGTGTGGGAGGGTTGCGAGCTTCATCGGTCATTGCGCTCGCGAATGAACAGCGCCCGCTGCACTTCCTGCTTATGTGCGGATCCTTCCGTGTTTTGGGGGTGGAAGCGCTCGCACACGTGCATTTTTTCTTCCGCCGGGTCACGTGGCTGTGCTAGTCTGGGCCTATTACCAAGCCAGCAAGGGCGTGGGAGGGTTTCGAGCATCATCGGTCATCGGCGCTCACGAATCAAGAGCGCCTGCTGCACTTCCTGCACATGTGCAGATCCTAACGTTTTGGGGCTGGAAGCGTCTTCCGCCGGGTCACTTGGCTGCGTTTGTCTAGTCCTATTGCCAAGCTAGCAAGGGCGTGGGAGGGTTCTGAGCATCATCGGTCGAAGCCCCACTTTCCGTGGAGTAACCCGTCGCAAAGATAACCTCCGACAAGCCAATCAAGAGGGCCACGAAGACCATAGACTCGATGGGGGAACACTAACACAAATGTATGGTGTATGGTTGCTGTATGGAGAGCATGATTGCTTTGACCCTGGATTTGCGTAACGCTGGTGGGCCTGTAACGTCTGCTACATTAGATGGCCAATTTCATAACTGATTTTTTTACATGAGACAACATGGGTAAGTTGAAACAAGACCGGTTTGAGGCACTAAGAAATGAACGCTTCATACAACATAAAAGGCGTGTAATTGATTCACACAAGAACACGGCAGTAGAAAGGCCGACGACCCAGTGCTCTCAGGGCTCCAGAGAAAATGGAAGTACGGTACTTGAGTTTCTCCTGTAGAGTGCTAGATCGTGCACGCAGCAGACACGTGAGCAAAACAGCTCCAGGCCCAGGACTCCCCTCTCAGCAATTATGACAACTCAAAGCCGGTTCCAGAAGAGATGGCGTACTTGAGCTTATCCCGCAATGTGCTGGCTCGTTGGTAGGTGGGCAGCTGCGTGGGGGAGGGTTGGAGGGGAGGTGGGGGAGGGGAAGAGGAAGTAAAATTGTACAAGAGTTTATCACGCAGTGTGCTGGCTAGTTGGTATGTGGGCAGTTGTGGCATGGGGTACAAGGAAAGTCATTCAGTGAAAGGCATACTCAGATCGTGAGATCCAAGGATATAGAATTAGAGAGATATGGAATAAGAGAAGGAAAGATGACATTACGGGAGTACGAAAAATATGGAGATGTGGGATTACGGAAGTATGGCGATACTGGAAAAGAGGTGACAACCAAGTGGTCTATCGTTACCTTGAGCCGATTGTTGAGAATTCTAAAAAATCGCTCACCTTGAGCCGCTTGTAGAGCAGCGGAAACAAGAACTACCATTGTAGCTCAACAAAAACAATGATTACCTTGAGCAAGTTGTAGCAGGCTGTAGCACAGCAGGAGCAATGATTACCTTGAGCAAGTTGTAGCAGGCTGTAGCACAGCAGGAGCAATGATTACCTTGAGCAAGTTGTAGCAGGTGGAAGCGGTGGGAAGCCAGTCCACATCAGGCCCTCCCAGTGTAGCCCACATGGACGCGTCCACGTTGACCTGGTAGCGAGGCGGATTGTATGGGGTACAAAACACATGCAGCACAAGTCATGGCATATAGGCTTATTGGTGGGCATGCAGACCAGCTAGACCACATGCTCCCCTCTCAATCACAAGTCACTGCAATCACACCCACCTGTCTTACAGTCACCTCTGATCATAGTCACACCTTGTGGATCACTGTCTACCTGCCACAGTCTACGTACCACCAGGACCTCTGATTCTTGGTATCTCGGCAGCATCACACCTTGTGGATAGTGAGGGGCGGGTTGAGGTGCTTGAACCCCAACAGCGGGGGTCGTGAGCAGCTGGTGACGAATTTGAGCAGCTGGCTCTTCTCCTCCCTTGAGAGCTCCTTCACCACCTGTGTGATGGTGGTGGCATGCGAAGGGGGAGAGGGAAGTACGAAGGGTGAGGAAGCGAGGACCCCCCAAGCTGAGCAGCTGGTGACGAATTTGAGCTGCTGGCTCTTCTCTTCTCTAGTTAGCTCCTTCACCACCTGATTTGATATTATACCATCAGATAGTGGCATGGGAATGGGAGAGGGAAGCAAGACGGGAGAGGAAAGGAGGACTCATGTGAGAGGCTAGTGACGAATCTTAGCAGCTGGCTCGTCTCCTCTCTCGATAGCTCCTTTACTACCTGATGTGATGGTAATCACTCAACAATTCACTGAACACAAACACACACCTCCCAGAGCATGCGGATGGTTCGGTCGCTCGCCGTGTATCCCCCCGAGTATCGCGTGTGTTGATTGCAGGTAATCACTCAAAGATGCACAGAAGCTGATCACGCACCTCCCAGAACATGCGGATGGTTCGGTCGCTCGCCGTGTATCCCCCCGAGTATCGGGTGTGCGCTGAATGCAGGTTCACAGTCCATGTAACAATGTTGCAAAGTAACCAACCACGCACCTCCCAGAGCATGCGGATGGTTCGGTCGCTCGCCGTGTATCCCCCCGAGTATCGCGTGTGTGACTTGATCAAAACCAAACACTCCATGCAACGCCAAAAAGCGCATGCCACTAACCCACCTCCCAGAACATCTTGATTGTTCGGTCACTCTCCGTGTATCCCCCCGAGTACCGCGTGTGTGCCTTGAGATCCTCCACGTCCACATCCTGCTCTCCTCCCGACAGCAGCTGCTCACACAGAGAGGCAAAGTCACAGAAGCACATTGGGCTTGCGGTCTAGACATATGTGCCTGGAGATCCTCCATATCCACATCCTGCTCCCCACCTGACAACAACTGCACAAGGGCAGGGACAGGGTCACACAGACATGATAAGAGATTGGGCTTGCGGTCTAGACATATGGGCCTGGAAATTCTCCACGTCCACATCCTGCTCGCCGCCTGACAACAGCTGTCTCATAGAGAGAAGAATCCACGTGCAGGGTTACTGAACATGTGCTCGTTCATTAGAAGCACCACATGACTGCACATAGGTATGCAGCATTTCTAAATGCCAATTCTGCTCGAGTTTGAGTTGATAAGCAATCACAGCCACAGACACACATGAGCAGGAAACAACAAACCCTGTTGCTATCCTCTAAGTTCTCCCCTCCTCTGCCGTTACCATCTATTTTTCCACCTGTTCTCTTGCTACCTCCTGGGTTCTCGCCTGATCTGTTGCAATCTCCTGAGATCTCACCTGGTTGAACTCCTTTGGGCTGAACAGCCGCAGCCACTCGGGCTGAATCAAATCTGAGAGGCCCCTCAGAAACGCCGCCACCACTGCTGCCATCTGCCAGTGTGTGCGGGGGGATGGGGGAAGAGAACAGACAGACTTATGAGTTTACTAAACAGATCATCCACTTGGGCTGAATCATATCTGAGAGGCCCCTCAGAAACACCACCACCACTGCTGCCATCTGAAAATGGGAGGTGGGTGGGGGGAAAGAAAGAACTACAAATTTATCAATAATGGTTTCACCTGAACTCTGCATTGATGAAACCACCTGATAATTGTTGATTTCACCTAACCACTGTTGTTTTCACCTGAACTATTACCTGACGGTTGTGCTTGTACTCCGCCACAGCATGAATGTACTGCAGTTTGATCACATTGGTCACTGCGCAAACCACATGGCCACTGTTGTTTTCACCTGGAAACTCACCTGACGGTTGAGCTTGTAATCCAACACAGCGTGGATGTACTGCAGCTTGTTCTCATTGATCACTGCTGCTTTCACCTGAAGTCTCACCTGACGGTTGAGCTTGTAATCAGCAACAGCGTGGATATACTGCAACTTGTTCTCATTGGTCACTTCTGCAACCACCTGGACACTGCTGCATTCACCTGAGAACTCACCTGACGGTTGAGCTTGTAATCAGCAACAGCGTGAATGTACTGCAGCTTGGTCACTGTTGAGTTCACCTGACCACTGTTGAAACCACCTGAGAACTCACCTGACGGTTGAGCTTGTAATCAGCCACAGCATGGATATACTGCAGCTTGTTCTCATTGGTCACTACGATGTGGCTGCCGCCCGGCCGCAGCTCCACGATATTGTGCTCTCCCAGCACCTCCTCAGTCACTGTGAAGTCCAATGACAGTTCAGAGGCATCCCCCTCATAGTGCTGAGGAATGGCAAGATGTAAGCAGGGGAGCGGGAGAACAGAGGGCGAGTAGACAAGGGTTGACGGCCGCAGCTCCACAATATTGTGCTCTCGCAGCACTTCTTCAGTCACTGTGAAGTCCAATGCCAGTTCTGATGCATCCCCCTCGTAGTGCTGTGGGAAGAGACAGGGGGGTAAGGGGAAAGGGATGGTGCATTGGTCACCGCGATGTGACTGCCGCCCGGCCGCAGCTCCACAATATTGTGCTCTCCCAACCAGCACTTCCTCTGTCACAGTGAAGTCCAGAGCAAGTTCAGAGGCGTCCCCTTCATAGTGCTGAGGATAAGTTGAGAGATGAGGAAGGAGGGGGAGAGACACATGGGCTGGAGGCTGGAGGCCGCAGCTCCACAATATTGTGCTCGCCCAACACTTCTTCAGTAACCGTGAAGTCCAATGCCAGTTCAGATGCGTCCCCTTCATAGTGCTGCAGGAGGTAGCAGGAAGTGGCAGGGGGGTAAGGAGAAAGGGATGGTGCATTGGTCACGGCGATGTGACTGCCGCCCGGCCGCAGCTCCACAATATTGTGCTCTCCCAACACCTCCTCTGTTACCGTGAAGTCCAGAGCCAATTCAGAGGCATCGCCTTCATAGTGCTGCATGGGGAAGGAGAAGAGGAAGGAGGGTGACAAGGGGACAGGCAAACAAAGGTTGGGTGCACGCCGCAGCCCCACAAAATTGTACTCTCCCAACACCTCTTCAGTCACTGTGAAGTCCAACGCCAGTTCAGATGCATCCCCCTCGTAATGCTGCGGGAAGAGGTGGAACAGAGGGCGGATAGACAAGAATTGTAATGGTAATGGGTAACGGTAATGGTGACGGTAGTGCTAATGATAATGGTTATGGTAATGGTAATGGTAACGGTAACGGTAATGGTCACAGTAACGGTGACGGTACTGGTAACGGTACTGGTCCGGTAACGGTAATGGTAACGGTAACGGTAATGGTAACGGTCATGGCAATGGTAATGGTAATGGTAACGGTAATGGTAACGGTAACGGTAATGGTAATGACAATGGCAACGGCAACGACAACGGTAATGGTAACGGTAACGGTAACGGTAACAGTAACGGTAACGGTAATGGTAACAGTAACGGTAACGGTAATGGTAATGGTAACGGAAATGGTAACGGTAATGGTAACGGTAATGGTAACGGTAACGGTAACGGTAAGGGTAACGGTAATGGTAATGGTAACGGTAATGGTAACAGTAATGGTAACGGTAATGGTAACGGTAATGGTAACGGTAATGGTAACGGTAACGGTAACGGTAATGGTAACGGTAACGGTAACGGTAATGGTAACGGTAATGGCAGCGGTAATGGTAACGGTGATGGTAACGGTAATGGTAACGGTAACGGTGATGGTAACGGTAATGGTAACGGTAATGGTAACGGTAATGGTAACGGTAATGGTAATGGTAATGGTAATGGTAGTGGAGTCTTGCCCACGATGGTGCACCTCAGTCACGACTCCACTCACTTTTACACCCACCTTCAGATACATGAGGTTGTGGCACCCACCTTCAGCTCCATGTCCAGCGATGAGAGCTCGTCCAAAAAGGCATATCTCTTATGGAATGTGCTTGTACAGGGCTTTGCTGCCCACTATGTCCCCTTGCTACACTCACACCCACCTTGAGGTACATGAGGTTGCGGTACAGCTCCACATCTAGCGCTGAGAGCTCGTGCAAAAAGGCGTATCTCCCAACTAGGTCCAACGCGGGTCCCCATGCTTATGAACACGCCACAGCCACACCCACCCTCCCACCCACCTTCAAATACATGAGGTTGCGATACAGCTCCATATCGAGAGAAGACAGCTCGTCCAAAAAGGCGTATCTCCCCACGAGCTTCGACACAAAGAGCGGGGCGAAGCTGTACTCAAGCAGAATCCCCTCGTAGAGAGCCTTGCCCACGATGCGGCCGAGAAACTCCACCATGGGAATGCCGTGGCCCAGCGCCGCAGCTGCCGGGTGTGGATACAGGTAACCCTCTTCTGTGGCCGCCTGGAGGAACAGACCGTAGCTGGGGAGAGCAGGGAGGGAAGGGAGGGAAGGGATGGATGAAGAGAAGAACCTAAACTCCAACTCGATGCAGCCCAGAAACTCCACCATGGGAATGTCGTGACCCAGCGCTGCTGCTACCCCAGCACAACGGTTGTTGAGCAGAGGGGAAAGGGAACAACTGTTCGGCTTGGTTCAAAGGGCTGCAATACGTGAAGATTACGCTCGAGCAGAGGGGAAAGCGAACACCTGTGCGTGTTCGTCACGGCACCGCCCGCTCATACGCTGCACCGCCCGCTCATACGCTGCACCGCCCGCTCATACGCTGCACCGCCCGCTCATACGCTGCACCGCCCGCTCATACGCTGCACCGCCCGCTCATACGCTGCACCGCCCGCTCATACGCTGCACCGCCCGCTCATACGCTGCACCGCCCGCTCATACGCCGCACCGCCCGCTCATACGCTGCACCGCCCGCTCATACGCTGCACCGCCCGCTCATACGCTGCACCGCCCGCTCATACGCTGCACCGCCCGCTCATACGCCGCACCGCCCGCTCATACGCTGCACCGCATGCACATACACTGCACCGCACGCACACCCACTGCATTGCACTGCACAACCTACCAATTCAAAGTGTCACCTGCCACTCAATGTGCGACCTGGCCCAACCAAGCACCACCTGCCCCAGGTGCCACCACCTGCCCCAGGTGCCACCACCTGCCCCAGGTGCCACCGCCTGCCCCAGGTTTAACCTACCCCCCGGTCGAAGGCTGCTTTAACAAGGTCAATGAAAAACTCTTTAAAGAGTCCGCTCTGGTCCATTCCTATCTCGACGTCACATGCACCACCTGTCCCAGGCGCCATTAACCCCTAGTGCCACGTACCCCGGGTCGAAGGCTGCCTTTGCAAGGTCAGTGAGGAACTCTTTGAAGAGTCCGCCCTGGTCCATTCCTATCAAGTTATCACCAGCACCACCTCTCCTCCATACAACCTGCCCCAGGTGCCACCTGCCCCACATGCAACCTACCCCGGGTCGAAGGCTGCTTTAGCGAGGTCAGTGAGGAACTCTTTAAAGAGTCCGCCCTGGTCCATTCCTATCTCCTCCGCTCCAAATGCATTCACAAATGAGACGCGCACACGGCCCTGTGAGGTGTGTGAGTGGAGTAGGTCAAGAGCGCGAGAGAGGAGAGAAGTGGAAAGGTGGGAAGCGCAGCAGGAGGAGGGAGCAATGGAGGGTCCGCTCTGGTCCATTCCTATCTCCTCCAAACGCGTTCATGAAGAAGACATGGACATGGCCCTGTGAGATGGAGGGACAGAGAAAGTGAGAAATAAATGAGGGGGAGAGTCCGCCTAGGCTCTGAACGCATTCACAGAGGAAACACGGCCCTGTGAGGTGGTGGTGGTGGGGGAGAGATAGGGGGAGGAATGAAAGAGAGAGCAACACAGAGCATGACACAACGTGGCAGAAGCTTCCCCACAGTGCCACCTTGATCATGGCCGTATCATACACCCCCTCCCCCCCTCCCCCCTCCCCCCACCTTAACCACGGGCCACAGCTGGTTGAGGCGCACTAAGGCATCCTCCGCCAGCAGGTGACGCCGCACCGACACGTCACATGCCCACCTGTCGCATGCATGGGTAACCCTCAGAAGCTTTTGAGTCGACTCAAAAGTCACCTCGTCACACGCCCACCTGTCGCATGCATGGGTAACCCTCAGAAGCTTTCCCTCAAGTGATACCTTGAGCATGGGGCCGAGTAGGTTCAGTCGCATCCTCGACAAGCAGGTCGCGCCGCACGGCGGACACGTCCACCACCGGCCGCACCGCGGGTGGGTGGGTGGGTGGGTGGGTGGGTTGAGACCGCACTGTGCCCAGCCTGGGAGTCACCTCAGTCAGTGCCTTGCAATGCTACTGCTCCCTCTCGTCCCTCATTGGTACCTTGAGCATAAGGCCAAGTTGGTTCAATCGCACAAACGCGTCTTCCACCAGTAAGTCCCGCCGCACGGACACGTCCACCACGGGCCGCACCAAGCCCATCCCATGCCACACCTTGTCACTCCCAAAGCGGCTTCCTCTCAGTGATACCTTGAGCATCGGTCCGAGTTGGTTGAGGCGCACGAACGCATCCTCCACTAGCAAATCCCGCCGCACTGACACGTCCACCACGGGTCGCACCATGCCCATCCCGGGGGTAGCCCCTAATCCATGCCGTGCCTTGTCTGCTTGAATCAGCTCCCGGAATATGTGCACCCTGAGATGAGCAACAGGGGGGAGAGCACGAGGAACAGCCAAAGGAGGAGAGGAGAAGAGGGGGCGGAGAGGGTTTTGAGGCTGTCAAACCAGACCAGACCCGTGCCTCTTCTTGCCCACTTGATTGAGCTTCCACGAGCAGAGCAGGTCGCGCCGCACGGACACATCTACCACCGGTTGCACCATGCCCATCCCGGGGGTAGCCCCTTGTCCATGCCATGCCTTGTCCGCCCGAATGAGCTCCCTGAATATGTGCACCCTGAGATGAGCGACAGGGAGAGGGAGATAGGGAGGGAGAGGGAGGTGGTGAGGTGGAGGATATGGGAATCATTCCTAATCCATGCCTCGCCTTGTCCGCTTGGATGAGCTCGCGGAATATGTGCATCCTGAGAAGGGAGAGACAAGGAAAGATGATCAAGGAGTGGGGAAGAAGAGAGGGCGAGGGAGAGGGAGATGGGGACGTGCTTGCATGGAGGAGAGTGAGAGTCACTCCCAGCCCGTGGCATGCCTTGCCCGCTTGGATGAGCACCCTGAAAAGAGACACGAGACATGAGATGAGAGGGGGGTGGGAGGTGAAGGGACGGAGCCTGTGGGATGCCTCACCTGGGAACAACCAGGCTGCGCTGTACCTTTCTGTAGCTGCCCCATGCTATCCCCACACCTCATCTCAATTCTTCTCAAACGGCAGCACGTGGGACTCTGCTGCGCCGCGCCTTCCCCTTCTACCTCCCCCCTCTGCAATCCCTACATCTCACCTCACCTCTTTTCAAAATGCAGCACATGGGGCAGTGTGCGCAGCACTGCAGCCATCGCAAGCACATCCACTCTTCTGCTTCTTCCCCTTCTCCTCATCCCCCTCCTCCTTCCTGTCATCACTCCCTACATCTCATCTCACCTCTTTTCAAACGGCAGCACGTGGGGTAGCGTGCGCAGCACTGCAGCCATCGCAGACCCACTCTGCTGCTCCTTCCCCTTCTCCGCGCCTCCTCTCCCTCTCCCTCCTCCCGCCAACATCACCCCCCCCTCTCCTCCGAGTTCCCCTCCTCCGCCTCCTGCCCCACCGCCCATGCCTAGTTCCCCCATCCACTCCCCCATCTCCCAGTCCTCCTCCCCTCCCCCCATCATTGCGCCCATCCCTCCTCCCCCCTCGCCCCCCACGCCATGGTGTCTGGCTGCGCCTGAAGCGGTGGGAGCAGCAGGGGAAGGAAGGGAATTGGAACGGAAGAGAAAACGGGAAAGCAATGAGCTCACAGAAAATGGGAGCCAGAGGGAAGGCTTGCAGAAAGCTCGGCTGCAGTCCCGATCGTGCAGAGAGAGGAGGCAGCGAGGAGGAGAAAGGGAAAGGGACGTGTAACCACCAGGGAAAGAGTACAGTACCCACCGGGTCACCCAACATACCTGCTGCCGAGATCACAGGCGGTGGGCGGCGATCAGCTGGGAACAGCCAGAGAGAAGGAGATGACTTTTGAGTCAATTCAGAATGGGTTTGTAAGCACCTGCTGCGGAGATCACAGGCGGTGGGCGGCGATCAGCTGCGGCCAGCGGCCAGCCAGAGGGAGGAGGCACCAAGTGGGTGCTTCTAGTAGAATAATCGGTGTATACCTCGTGTTGAAAATATATATAGGCACACAGCACATGAAAGAGGCCGTTTACCTGCTGCCGAGATCACAGGCGGTGGGCGGCGATCAGCCGGGGCCAACCAGAGGGAAGGCTCGCAGAAGGCTCGTCTGCAGTCGCGGTCGTGCAGAGGGAGGAGGCAGCGAGTGGCGGCTTCTAGGAGAGCGGATTGCGAAGGGGTGAGCGGGGAAGAGGCGGAGGCGGATGAGGAAGAGGAGGGGGACGGGGAGGAGGAGGAGGGGGAGGAGATGAGTGTGTTGTAAACGAGAGTGTTGAGTGTTGCTGCGATGACTCTTTGCTCGGAAAGAGAGAAGGGGATCTGAGGGAAGAGGGGAACACGGGACAAGGAAGAGGAGGGATACGGAGGGAAGAGGGGCAGGGGCAGGCAGACAAGTGGGAGGAGATGAGGGTGCTGTAGACTAGGGTGCTGACAGGCAAGGGAGTGGGTATAGAGAAAGGAGGAGAAGATGATTTTTGCATGTTGCAGGCAAGGGTGTTGTTGTGTATGGCTGAAATGACCTGCTGCTCTAAAAGAGAAAGGGATCTGAGGGACAAGGTAAGCCAAACCACCCCACCACACAGCACCGCACCCCACCGCACCCCACCGTACAGCACCGCACAGGACCCACCACCCCACTGTGCAGCACCGCACAGCACCCACCTGTCTCTGGTAAAACTCCTCATCATCCAGCACGAGCAGCAGGTGGGCATACGCCCTGCAGAACACCGTCACCCCACCGCCCAGCACCGCACATAACCCACCATCGCACCACGCAGCTCCACACAGAACCCAGCGTCCAACTACCCCAACCGCACAGCACCCACCTGTCTCTGGTAGAACTCCTCATCATCCAGCACGAGCAGCAGGTGGGCATACGCCCTGCAGAACACCGTCATTACCACTGCCACGTCAGCCGCCACCCCTGCCACCCCCTTCTTCATACTCTCCACATCCCACCGCTCCCCTCCTCCTCCTCCTCCTCCCTCTCCTCCTTCTCTTCCCTCGAATCCCCCGGTTCCCTCCCCCTCCTCCTCCTCTTCCCCCTCGTCAATATCCTCTTCCATATAGTCACCTGTCTGGGTCTCCCAAAACGTCCTCCCGCCTCCCTCTCCCCCTCCTCTTCCTCTGCTCCCTCTCTGTGCTTCTGCTGCGCGTCTCTGGAACGTGGAGGAGAGAAAGGTGGACCACCGCTGTGCTGCCGTTGACCCTGGTTGACTTGATTGACCAGCCTGCCGCCCACCAATGAATGCAGCCAGGGCAGCATCATCATCACCCGCACTCCCGGGCGGCCTTCCCTGGCCGGCAGAATCTGTCTGCATGTGGTCAACGCCCGTTCTATCTCTTCCTACCCCTTCTCCTCCCCTTCCACCTCTTCCACCTCCTCCTCCATGTGGGTTCCCCCACTCATCCTCCTCCTCCGCCCTTTCCTCCCCTCCCTCCCCACCTCCCCCATACCCGTCCAAAAACGACCTTGGAAACCAGCTGCCCGAAAACTGGGGCAGCTGAAACGAACCAGCCACTCCCCCTCCCCCTCCCCCTTGCCTGCTCCCTTCCCTCCTCCCTCTGTTTCCCCTCCTGCTAGATCCCTCTCTTGCCCTCCCACCACCACCACCAGCAGTACCACCAGCAGCAGAACCACCACCAGCAGTACCAGCAGCAGCAGAACGAGTAGCACCAGCACCGCCAGCAGCAGCCGCCTGTATTCCCTTGGAACCACTCTGTACCCCTTGCAAACCACTCTGCATCCCCTCACTCTCCGCATACGCCTGAGAAATAGAGATACGGCAGTGAGCCACCAGCCAGTGCCACAGCCCTGTGAGAACCTCGCGAGTGAAGGCGAGGACATTGAGGAGAGGGAGCACCCGCCCTGAGGACGCATGCACCGAGGAGAAGAGCGTGAGGAGGAGCGAGTAGAGGCGGCCGAAATCGCCCATGTCTAGCTGCTGCCGCCCTGCTGCTCCTCCTCCTCCTGCTCCTGCTGCTGCTGATCCTGATGCTGCTACTGCAGCAGGTTTCCCTCCCGATTCTGCTGCCTTTTCCGCACTTTTTTCGGCTTTAAGGGCTTCTTCTAGGACCCTCAGCACGTGCCACCGCTGACACAAAGGGGAAATATCCTCGTAAAAACACGGGTGCACCTGCCTACGCCCGCCTCTTCTTCCCCTCCCGTCCTCTTCCTCATCCTCCTCATCCTCCTCCTCCTCCTGCTGCTGCTCCCTTCTCTTTATCCCTTTCCCTCCTCTCTCCTCCCTCACCTCTTTCTCCTCATGGGCTATCACAGCAGCAGCTAGGGCGCAGAGGGCGTGGACATAGAGTGGCAAGTCCAGACCGGGTAGGAACAGCTCAGAGGAGAGTGAGGGAGAGGGAGGAGGAGGAGGAGAGGGTGGAGAGGGGGAAGGGGAGGAGGATGGAGAGGGGGAGGAGGAGAGGGAAGGGGGGCCGGTGGCGAGAGCAGAGACGTTTGCTAGAGCCCAGGCGGGAGGGGGGAGATGGGAGGTGAGCCGGTGGTATGGGTCTGGTGGCGAGGGGTGGGGGGAAGGAGCCTGGCGCTGCAAGAGAGGAGAGAGAGGGGCAGGTAAATAGCAGAGGGGAGGGAGGGAGAGGGGGAGAGGGGTCGGGGACACAAATGAGAGAGCAGCAGAGAGGGTAGCTAGGACCAGCCGGGAGGGGGGAGATGGGAGGTGAGTCGGTGGTATGGGTCGGGTCGCGAGGGGTGGGGGGAAGGAGCCTTGCGCAGCACGAGGGGATAGGAGGGGAAAGGCACAGAGCGGAAGAGAATCGGAGGGGCAATGGAGGGGCAGGCAGCAAAGAAGAAGGGTTGGGGCAACGGAGAAAATGATTACACCAGATAGGTGAGGAGGCACGGCTGGAGCACTGACAGATGGCGCAAGGCAGGGAGGAGGACAGACGGGGTTGTTTAATGGAGAAGGTAAACGATTCTGGCAGGCAGACAGGTGCATTATCGTAGATGGCTTGGAAGAACGATTCGTACCAGGCAGGAGAGGAGGCACGGTTGGAGCGGTGACAGATAGCGCAGGGAAGGGAGGAGGGGAGAAAGAGATTTAGTGGGCAAGGCCGAAGGTTCATGTAGAAAAGAGGAGAGGAGAGAAGGGTCGTACCAGGCAGGAGATAAGGCACGGTTGGAGCGCTGACAGATAGCGCAGGGAAGGGAGGAGGGGAAAGAGAGGCATAGTGGGCAAGGCCAGAAGTTAAGTTGAGGTAGAAAGGAAGAGAAGAGAGAATGATCGTACCAGGCAGGAGATAAGGCAGGGCTGGAGAGCTGACAGATGGCGCAGGGCAGGGAGGAGGGGGGATGGCAGGCGCCACGTCAGCAGTGGGATGGTGAGAATGTGGGCGGCAAACTGATCTGCTGCCAATGATGCCCATGCTGCATGCAAAGGAACGGAACATAGGGCATACAGACAAGGATGCGAGAGTAGACTTTTGAGATGCGTCCAAATTCAAATGTGGGCGGGCGGCAAACTGATCTGCTGCCAGAGAGGCCCACGCTGCATGGCAGGGAACGGAAAGTAGGGACGGTAGAACTGGGCAAGTAGACTTTTGAGACATCATATGACTAAAGTGTTGCCGGCAAACTGATCTGCTGCCAGAGAGGCCCACTCTGCATGGCAGGGAACGGAGCGACGGTAGAGACGGGCCGAGTAAACCAACGAATAAGAGGAGAAGGGACTGTTCAGGACACAGCTCTGTTGAAACAGTTTTTGAGGCGCCTCAAAGAATAAGAGGAGAAGGGACTGTTCAGGACACAGCTCTGTTGAAACAGTTTTTGAGGCGCCTCAAAAATAAGAGGAGAAGGGACTGTTCAGGGCGCCTCAAAGAATAAGAGGAGAAGGGACTGTTCAGGACACAGCTCTGTTGAAACAGTTTTTGAGGCGCCTCAAAGAATAAGAGGAGAAGGGACTGTTCAGGACACAGCTCTGTTGAAACAGTTTTTGAGGCGCCTCAAAGAATAAGAGGAGAAGGGACTGTTCAGGACACAGCTCTGTTGAAACAGTTTTTGAGGCACCTCAAAGAATAAGAGGAGAAGGGACTGTTCAGGACACAGCTCTGTTGAAACAGTTTTTGAGGCGCCTCAAAGAATAAGAGGTGAAGGGACTGTTCAGGACACAGCTCTGTTGAAACAGTTTTTGAGGCGCCTCAAAGAATAAGAGGAGAAGGGACTGTTCAGGACACAGCTCTGTTGAAAAAGTTTTTGAGGCGCCTCAAAGAATAAGAGGAGAAGGGACTGTTCAGGACACAGCTCTGTTGAAACAGTTTTTGAGGCGCCTCAAAGAATAAGAGGAGAAGGGACTGTTCAGGACACAGCTCTGTTGAAACAGTTTTTGAGGCGCCTCAAAGAATAAGAGGAGAAGGGACTGTTCAGGACACAGCTCTGTTGAAACAGTTTTTGAGGCGCCTCAAAAATAAGAGGAGAAGGGACTGTTCAGGACACAGCTCTGTTGAAACAGTTTTTGAGGCGCCTCAAAGAATAAGAGGAGAAGGGACTGTTCAGGACACAGCTCTGTTGAAACAGTTTTTGAGGCGCCTCAAAGAATAAGAGGAGAAGGGACTGTTCAGGACACAGCTCTGTTGAAACAGTTTTTGAGGCGCCTCAAAGAATAAGAGGAGAAGGGACTGTTCAGGACACAGCTCTGTTGAAACAGTTTTTGAGGCACCTCAAAGAATAAGAGGAGAAGGGACTGTTCAGGACACAGCTCTGTTGAAACAGTTTTTGAGGCGCCTCAAAGAATAAGAGGTGAAGGGACTGTTCAGGACACAGCTCTGTTGAAACAGTTTTTGAGGCGCCTCAAAGAATAAGAGGAGAAGGGACTGTTCAGGACACAGCTCTGTTGAAACAGTTTTTGAGGCGCCTCAAAGAATAAGAGGAGAAGGGACTGTTCAGGACACAGCTCTGTTGAAACAGTTTTTGAGGCGCCTCAAAGAATAAGAGGAGAAGGGACTGTTCAGGACACAGCTCTGTTGAAACAGTTTTTGAGGCACCTCAAAGAATAAGAGGAGAAGGGACTGTTCAGGACACAGCTCTGTTGAAACAGTTTTTGAGGCGCCTCAAAGAATAAGAGGAGAAGGGACTGTTCAGGACACAGCTCTGTTGAAACAGTTTTTGAGGCGCCTCAAAGAATAAGAGGAGAAGGGACTGTTCAGGACACAGCTCTGTTGAAACAGTTTTTGAGGCGCCTCAAAGAATAAGAGGAGAAGGGACTGTTCAGGACACAGCTCTGTTGAAACAGTTTTTGAGGCGCCTCAAAGAATAAGAGGAGAAGGGACTGTTCAGGACACAGCTCTGTTGAAACAGTTTTTGAGGCGCCTCAAAGAATAAGAGGAAAAGGGACTGTTCAGGACACAGCTCTGTTGAAACAGTTTTTGAGGCACCTCAAAGAATAAGAGGAGAAGGGACTGTTCAGGACACAGCTCTGTTGAAACAGTTTTTGAGGCGCCTCAAAGAATAAGAGGTGAAGGGACTGTTCAGGACACAGCTCTGTTGAAACAGTTTTTGAGGCGCCTCAAAGAATAAGAGGAGAAGGGACTGTTCAGGACACAGCTCTGTTGAAACAGTTTTTGAGGCGCCTCAAAGAATAAGAGGAGAAGGGACTGTTCAGGACACAGCTCTGTTGAAACAGTTTTTGAGGCGCCTCAAAGAATAAGAGGAGAAGGGACTGTTCAGGACACAGCTCTGTTGAAACAGTTTTTGAGGCGCCTCAAAAATAAGAGGTGAAGGGACTGTTCAGGACACAGCTCTGTTGAAACAGGGGATGAATATACTCGAGGCACAATGAGACGAGGGAAGGAAAATGCGGTCCTTAGGAAAATAGCGGTGGGCAGGTAAACCAGGAGAGGAGGAGAACTAAAACGTATGACTTACCAGATGGCAGCTTCCCAGCAACTTCTTGCCCATCTTTCCTGCCCGAGAAAACAATGATAGGTCTGAGAGCCACCGTCATTGCAGCAGCGGTCAGCAAAAATATTTGCTGGGCAACCTGAGCTCCTCCCCCACCTCCTGGCCCCCCTCCCATCCCTCCTCCTTTCCCCTTCATTTCCCTCCACCCGTCCACGGGCGGGGCGGCGGAGTTTGTCAGTGTGTGCATGCGCAGTGCAGGGTAGATCCCCGTGGCACCTGATGCAGTACCTGCCAACAGAGAAAGCACCTGAGCCTCTGCTGCTGCCAGGGTGCTTTCAGGGGAGGAGGAGGCAGTGACAGCTGACGATTTGAGGAAGCGCCACGTGGCAGTGTCACAGAGTGACACGTGGACACGCATGGCGAGAACAGTGAGTAGGAGGGAGGGTGCTGATGGGGTGGTGGTGGTGGAGGGAGAGGGCGAGGCGGAAGAGGAGGAGGACGACGACGAAGAGGAGAAAAGGCTGAGGAGGGCACTGCAGAGGGACACGATTCTATGTGCCTGGTGCTGCCACATGGCACGCTGTGATTGGGTGCCGACGGCCAAGGAGCAGAAGTTGGTAGCAGGATCTGCATTGGGATGAACGAGAGAGGGTGAAACACAATTGCGAGAGGAGGGGGGAAGCGGAAGAACAGGCGAGCTTGAGAGGCCTAGGGGATTAACAAAAGAACAGGCGAGCTTGAGAGGCCTAGGGGATCAACAAAAGAACAGGCGAGTTTGAGAGGCCTAGGGGATCAACAAAAGAACAGGCGAGCTTGAGAGGCCTAGGGGATCAACAAAAGAACAGGCGAGCTTGAGAGGCCTAGGGGATTAACAAAAGAACAGGCGAGCTTGAGAGGCCTAGGGGATTAACAAAAGAACAGGCGAGCTTGAGAGGCCTAGGGGATTAACAAAAGAACAGGCGAGCTTGATTAAGTGGATTGGGACTGTTGAACCGACTGCTCCGAAAATCCCACTTACCTGGGAAACTTCAATAGCCCGACTCTTTAAGAGCCACACCAGCACTGACTGTAACTGTTCCACTTCCCTTCCTTCTCATCTCACCCTTTTTTTGACGGGCTTAAGCAATTGACACAAGACTAAACTCAAGCCCTTGCTTACCTGGGGAATCCAGACTTTTTAACAGCCACACCAGCACCGACTGTAACCGTTGCAGTTCCTTTCCTGCTCCCCCTCCCCCTGCCCCTCCCCCTGCCCCTGCCCCTGCCCCTGATCCTGCTCCGGTCCCTCCCCCTTCCCCTCTGCTTCCCCCTTCCCCCCCCTCCCCCCTCCCTCCAATTCTCCACTCCCTTTTCCGCGCATCCCACAGCAAGAACAGCACCGGCGCCAGAAGCTTCTGGGAAACTTCATCGGCTGTTAGAGGCGCTGGGGGCTGGCCCCCCACTGCTGCCATGCGGGAAGCATGCCACGTGTCCCACTCGGATTGGACGAGCTGGCGAGCGACGCAAGCTGCTTTCCTGCCACGCCACACACGCTGATGTGGGCAAACGGAATTACAGAATGGGTGGGCGAGTGAATGGGTGGGTGGGTTTGTGGGTGAGTAAGCGAGTGGGTGGGTGGGTAAGTGTGTGGTGCGAAACCATTTGATGGCAGATGTAGCGGCGTGCACGTAAGAGGAAACCTGCCAGAAATGTGGACTGGAGCACCTGAAACGCCGACTGGATCACCTGAAACGCCGAATGGAGCACCTGAAGCGCCAATCTGGCGCCTGGCGCACCTGAATGAGCGCGGCGGAGGCCGCGGACTTGCGGGCCTTGCTGCGCGCCGCGCGCTCTTCCGCCACCTTGTTCAGTAGCGCGTTCCGCGACACCTCGCGCGCGCTCGCCCCGCGCAGCGACACCTGCGGAATCCGCCGGGGGAATAGGAGATAGGAATTCGCGACAGGAAAATAGTGAAATGAGAAATTCGAGAGATTCGACGGGGTAACAGGAGGGAGAGAGTCGAGCGTAACAGAACAGTCTGGCAGGGCGTTCCGCGATACGTCCGTTCCGCTCACTCCGCCAAGCGACACCAAGTGAAGATTTAGTCAAGCTCTTAACGACACGTGTCATGTCAGCATAGGGTCGATCTGGTACACCCAGTGACAGCACATGCCGACAAACACTGCACGGCATGGAAGAAACGTAACGGTCGGACTCCCAGATGTAATGGATCCAAGGAAATCTAGCTCCTTCCTACTCCAACTGAGCAGCTCCGCGCTCACCTCGCGTCGCCCTCCGAATTGCATCCTGACCGTTGGACCGCTCCTGGCCTAGGTCGGCAAATTACGATACGGACTGGACTTGTCCTGAGTGTTGGTTGAGTAGGATGATTCCAGGACCCCCTGAGACTAAGTTAAGACAAGTTTTAGGAGACGGTGTAGCACACAGGAGGTCGTAACAATAGTCTCTAGGTACTCCCTGAGTTCTGAAGTCGTGAGTACGAATATTATAGCATGTTGAATGTCAGACTTTTTTGGAGGAATGCATTTGATTAGAACTGCTCCGATATCTGTTAATACTGGGGGACTGAGATCCAATCATGTAGTCATTACAATTTGAGTAACACCTATATCAATGTAGTGTACAAGGACTTCACGGGTGAGCTGGGCTGCGTGACCGCGCTCGCTCCCCTGGCAGTCCATTTCGGTTCGGAAATGGGGTGAGTTTTTTTTTTTTTTTTTTTGGGACATAATACACTATACAATGCATCACATCCACAGTCGTAACTGAGAAAAGAGGAAGACACAGGCCACTCTGATATGGTTTGCACTGTCCTCCCTATTGACCCTTTACGGAGGCTTAAAAAAGGTACTAGGCCTCTCCCATATCGAGCTGAATGCTTTGTTCCACGTCAGACATTCGTCCTGCTCACAGATGCGGCTCAGCGCTGCCGCCTCTCCAGCTGACAGGTGTTGTCCTCCTCCAACTCCCCCCCCTATGTGTCCCTTTTTTCCGCCGCTCCCCTCACTGTAGATCCGCACATGCCTCCTGAAATTGGCCCCAATCTTCCTGGCCACCCGTCTGGGTTCAAAAGTTTTCTGTCGGAAAACCGCGTCACATCTTTCCAGCCAAATGTGTCTGAACGTGATCGCAACGAGCGTGGATTCCGGAAATCCGGATGATGTGCTGTCTTCAGCGAATAGCAGCTCTCCCAGTGTTCCAACCGCTCTGGTTGGGTTAATCAGACGAAGCGAGTCCTGAAGCGCGCCACATATTCCCATAACCACCGTGTTAGAATGTAGAACTGAACGAGAATGTGTGAAACTAGGCAGCAGGGTGATACAAGTAGGAAACCCTAGCAATGTTGTACCCCCTAAGGCTAAACCCACTATAGCCTACACAATATGAACATGTATAATGTTTGACACACCCCCATAGGCTAAGTGGGAGACAACCAGATGGTCACAAGACCAGTCAAAGCAAAGCAAAGCAAGCTCAGGGTGGATCTCAAGGAAACCACACAAATTCCGAGCACAAGCAAGTGGTCACAAGACCAGTTCACATGCAGTTTGATAATATAACAAGAGGTACAGTGATCACAACCTAACAAGAGTAAACATGCAGGTATATATATATAGAGATCACAGTACAAGCAGAGTCAAGAAGTGAGCAAGTGAGGGAGAGTAGGCACAAGGCCTAGAACAGTACAGAAACGCTGATGGTCACAAGGCTGAAGCGCCTTGGTGAACACATCAGCAGTGTTGGCCCGAATGGCCACGTAACGCAGACGAAGCTGACCACGCTGCTGCAGCTCTCGAGCAAGGAAGTAGCGCAGAGCGATGTGCTTCGTCCTGTGCTCCAGTCTGTGCTCCTCACACAAGGCAATGGCGGCCTTGTTGTCAACGTACAGCACTGGAGGAGAACGAGGCCGCTCTCCCAGGTCGGTCAGCAGGTAGGTGAGCCAGCGTAACTCCTGTGCAGCCATGGCTGTGGCGTAGATCTCAGCCTCACAACTGGAGCTGAGAACAGAAGAAGAGCGAGTAGAACGCCAAGAAACTGAACCAGAGCCAAGGCTGAAGGTGTAACCCTGAGACGACCGCTGCGTAGCCTGGTCGTCAGCCCAAGAAGCGTCTGAGTGACCCGTGAGGACAACGTCGCTCCGACCTCCAAGCACGAGCCCCATGCCCGACGTACTGCACAAGTAGCGCAACACCCTCTTAGCGGCATCCATGTGCTCCTTCCGGTGACGGCCGGGAGCGACATAGCGTGCTAGGATGCTAAGAGGGTATGCCAGGTCAGGTCGAGTGCAGGTCATCAGGTACATGAGGCAGCCCACAAGCTCTGGATACGGGCCACTCGGCTCTACGGACTCATCCGAAGGCAGAGCTGAGAGCGAGTGACCGGTAGGCAGAGGAGTGGGCTGAGGCGAGGAGTACGTGAAGCGGAAGCGCTGAAGGACCTGCTGCACCATGTGTGACTGAGTCAAGGTGATGGTGCGCTGTGCTCTGTCCCGGGTGATCCGCAAGCCAAGATAGCTTGTCAGCTCACCCAGGTCTGTGCACGTGTGTCTCTTCTGCAGCTCCGACTTCACGTGGGCGAGTGCCTCAGTGTCAGCAGTAGCAAAGACCAAGTCGTCTACGTAAACAAGAACGTAGAACGGCGGCAGAGTGGTGTCGGTGCGTAGAAACAGCGACGGGTCAGCAGTAGAAGGAGCAAACCCAAGAGCAGCAAGAGTAGTCCTCAGTGTGTCGTGCCACTCACGGGGTGCCTGGCGGAGACCGTAGACTGGCCGCCGGAGGCTCCACTGGGTACCAGGAGGGAACGACCCAGTGAAGCCAGGTGGGCGGCGCAGCCAGATCTCCTCGTGCAGGCTGCCCTGTAAGAACGCAGTGCTGAAGTCAAGAGAGTGGAGCTCGTAGTCACGCTGAGCAGCGACGTGCAGCAGAACCCGAAGAGTGGTCATCTTCGGGGTCGGGGAGAAGGTCTGGAAGAAGTCAACTCCCTCTCGCTGACTGAAGCCTCGTGCAACGTAACGCGCCTTGAAGACAGGCGGAGAACCCGGCGGCCGCTTCACCCTGAAAATCCACATGCCACTGACGATGTTCGCCCCAGGTGGGGGAACCTCGTCGACGTAGGTGCCTGCGGACTTCCAGGATGCCATCTCTGCGTCCATGGCTGTCTGCCACTGAGAGGAGTAGGGACCCTCCATCGCCTCTGCGTAGGAGCGTGGGGTCGGGATGTCTGGTGCATCCGGGTCTCCCTCAGGGGCAACTAGCATGGACACGAGATGAGGCAAAGCAGCGGCAAAGCACTCAAACTCCTCCTGTCTGTCCTCAAGGACGTCCGTGCCAAGAGCACACTCACCCCCGACAGACGGAGGACAGACAGACTCAGACTCAGACTCAGCAACAAGGCTAGCGGCGTAGTCTAGACGACAGGCAGCAGCAAAGTCAACAAGCTCAGCGACTAGAGCAGACGCAGCAGAGGACTCAAAGGAAGGGTCAGTGACAGCAGTGGCAAGGAGACGCGTGACAGTAGGACTGGCAGCACGAAGAGAGTCAGACTCCGGGTCAGCAAGAGCAGGAAGAGAGGACGCTGGTGGAGACGGCAGTGGGACACGCTGTGGAGCAGTAGAGGGACGCAGGGTCATATAGTGAGTGCCAAGGACAGGAGGAGGACGCTGACGTAGAACACGACGACCAGCGCGGACAGCGCGGACAGGCGACTCTGGACGCGTCTCAGGCGACGGAGGACGAGACTCAGGCTCACGACGCTCCGTAAGACCTCCCGTCGGCGCAGTGTAGGGAGAAGGACCAGGAAGTGGAGAGACTGGCTGTGACTGTGACTGCGACTGGACAAGCGGTGGACTCAGTAGGGGAGGAGTAGGACCAGGAGAGGGCGGAAGGCCAAGAACCTGCTGAAGGAGCGGAACGTAGTACGGCCGTGGCCGCTCAGCACCTCCAGCTCCAACCCCCTCAGCAGGGCCAGTCCCAGCAGCTCCAGCAGCACCGCCAGCAGCAGCAGGGTCCCCAGCAGCTCCAGTACCAGCAGCACCTCCAGCAGTGCCAGCAGCACCACCAGCAGCAGCAGCACCTCCAGCAGCTCCAGCAGCACCAGTACCAGCAGCACCTCCAGCAGCGCCAGCAGCACCGCCAGCAGCAGCAGTACCACCAGCAGCTCCAGTAGCTCCAGCACCAGTAGCACCTCCAGCAGCGCCAGCAGCACCAGCAGCACCTCCAGCAGCGCCAGCCGCACCGCCAGCAGCAGCAGCACCTCCAGCAGCTCCAGCAGCACCAGAACCAGTAGTACCTCCAGCAGCGCCAGCAGCACCTCCAGCAGCAGCAGTACCTCCAGCAGCTCCAGCAGCACCAGCAGCACCTCCAGCAGCGCCAGCCGCACCGCCAGCAGCAGCAGCACCTCCAGTAACTCCAGAAGCTCCAGAGTCCATGACACCGGGAGCGCCACTCCGGAGACTGCAGCGCCTAGCGTACCACTCTCGGAGCTGCTGGGGAGAGGGCAGCTCCCGCCTAGGAGGGGAAGCACTAGCACCAGCTCCGGCACCACTCCGAGCTCCAGAAGCACCTCTCCTGAGGCTGCAGTACTGTAAGTACCACTCACGCAGCTGCTGCGAGGAGAGGCCTCCCCCAGGTGCAGCACGCTCAGGCTCAGTACTCTCAGACGTAGCACTCCCAGGCTCAGCACCCCCAGGCTCAGCACCTCCAGACTCAGCACCCGCAGGCTCCGCACCCCCAGGCTCAGCACCCCCAGACTCAGCACCCGCAGGCTCCGCACCCCCAGACCCCGCACCCCCAGGCTCAGCACCCCCAGACTCCGCAACCCCAGGCTCCGCACGCTCAGGCTCAGCACCCCTGGCAGGACGAGAGTCGACAGCTACCTCGACAGGCTCAACCGGGTCTACCTGGGACACACCTGAGGGAGCGGCACCCTGAGGGGGGAGGGGGTCTACCACAGCAGCACCTGGCGCGAGGAAGAGAGGCGGGGGGGGGAGCGGGGCAGTGCGGTAGGGGAAGAGGCGGTAGTAGGGCACGGACTCGTCAAAAGTGACGTCCTGAGAGGGCAGGACACGGCGCGAGGTGGCGTGGTAAAACTGCCAACCAGACGCGTCCGGGACAAAGCCAAGGAAGACACAGGGAACAGCGCGGGAGGAGAGCTTGTCCGCGAACGTATCGCGAACAAAAGCTCGGGACCCCCAGACCCGAAAACGCGACGCATCGCCAACCTCTCCCGTCCAACGCAGTGTCGGCGAAGTCTCCGGAACGGAGACACGGGGCCAGAGGTTGAGCTG